CTGTTGTGTTGTGATCTTGGTCCAAACCCTCACGAGAGTTCCTTACAATTATTACTGTTTTTCTTTACAATTTGTATTTTTTTGGATGTAACTGGGACCCTGTGTACATAGTTTCATTCCACCTCATGTACCACGAGTGATGCGAATGACAATAAAAAACCTTGAATCCTTGAATTACAACAAAATAAATAGTGAAGTGATTACATCAAGTATGTGCTACAATTTGGTTGAAGATTAAACAAAAACAAACTGTTTATTATAGAGGGAAGATTGATGATTATACCCAGCAAATGTGTATTTATTTATTTTTTAAGTCAACCACCAAGAGGATCGATAAACTACAAAGCCTGTTAGGGCAATGTCAGGAAAAACTTACCGTAATATTGTGTTTTCTCAAAATACTGTTGGTTTACCTCAGGAAGTTCGAGAGCAAATACTTTACCCTCACAAAGAGCTACAGATCCAAAATGCAGGTGTCATTTTATGTGATTGCACCAAATCAATAAAAGTCACATTCAGTGCAGAAGCAGGGCTTGGCAGGAGACCTGTTGTACACAAAGATGGGGAAGTAATCCATGTTCCTTCCACTTACTGCTCCTATCCAGACTTTTACACACCATTTGATCAATGCTATATTCTATCAGGATTACTGATTAATGCTAAACCAATTATTAGTTATAATTCTTTTGTATTGTGGTCCCTCAGCCCTTTGATGGACTTGCGACCCGTCCAGGGTGTACCCCGCCCCTCGCACAGTGATTGCTAGACATGGGCACCGGTGACCCCCGTGACCCAAAATAGAAGAAGCGGGTAAAAGATAATGGATGGATGGATATTCTGTAGGAGCGACAGATACCTTCAAGGTGGAGGTGGGATGGAATGAAGGATCGACTCTGAGCCACTTCTTGTTTGCTCTGGAGATGGACCGACTAATAGATGAGGATAGGCAGGAATCCTCTTGGACTGTGATGCTTGCAGATGACATTGTGGTCTGTGGTGAGAACATGGAACACGTGGAAGAGAATTTGGATAGTTGGAGGTATGCACTTGAAAGAAAAGGAATGAAATTATGTCATAGTGAGACAGAGTACATGTGTGAATGAGATGGGGGCAGCTGGAACAGTGAGGCTACAAGGAGCAGAGCTCGCAAAGGTGCAGGACTTTAAGGACTTAGGGTCCACTGTCCAGGAAAACAGGAAGTGTGGTAAAGAGGTTAAGAATCTTTTTTTTTATCATTTTTTTGTTCCTGTTATTTTTGTTTTAACTTTTTTTTGCATCTACAATACACATCCACAGTACGGGTATGACCACGACACACTTGTGGAGTTTTCTGTGTCGCTCCCTTGCCATCGTGCCATCATGGCTCAGTCCTTCCAGCCTTGGGCTCAGGCCTGTCATGGCAGCTGTCTCCATGATCCTCCATCTGTCTGCATGGACCGAACTCTACGGACCCGTTCAGTTCCGTGGAGAAACCTGGATGTTCTCCATCTGCCAGACCCGGTTCTGAAGGACTGTCTGGGAGGGCAGCTGCTGCAGTCACTGATACCATTGGGGTGCTGACCTGCTAACTAGACCTGCTAATGCTGCTAACAAGATCCTCCGTCTGCCTGATTGGACCAAGCTCTACGGACTCACTTGGTTCCGCGAGGGAACCTTGGATGTTCTCTGTCTGCTGGACCTGGTTCTGGAGGAGAGTCTGGGAGGCAGCTGCTGTGGTCCTTATTATCATCATGCTGCTGAAGGGACCTGCTACTAAGACCTGCTAACTTTGCTAACAACACCACTTCGCTAACCGAACCACACTGCTAACAGTACCATGGGGCCAACGGGACCATGTTGCTGAGAGAAACCTCACTGTTATCAGAACCGCTCTGCCAATAGGACCATGCTGCTAGATTTATTTCTTTTTCACTTTTGGCGCCTTGTTTCTGTATTTTTGTTGCATGCTTTGAATAAATGTCAGTTTATGTTAGTTTAGTTTATGTTAGTGCTCGCATTATTCGTGTAAATGATAGCCGAACAGAACCTATGAGAATCGTGCTGCTGTTGTTCGGTGTATTGTTTTGCACCATTAGTGACTGGCATATATCTTAGATCTTTTAGTGTACAGTTAGGTGTTTGTTTAGCGTATATCTTAGTTTATATCTCAGATCCTTATTTACTGTTTCTTTTTACACTTTATATTTTTGCTATTGTTTGATGTAACGGGGACCCTGTGTACATAATTTTGTTCCACCACATATACGACATGTGATGCGAATGACAAATAAAGAAACTCTGACTCTGACTCTGAAGAAGAGAGTCCAGGCAGGATGGAGTGAATGGAAACATTTGTCTAGAATGATTTGTGACAAAAGGGTGGGGTTAAAGGTCAAAGGAAAAGTTTACAAGATGTTGGTGAGACCAGCTATGTTCTATGGTTTGGAGACAGAGACATGGACAAAAAGACAGGATACAGAACTGGAAGTGACAGAGCTGATGATATTGAGGTTCTCCTTGTTAGTGACAAGGATGGAGAAGATTAGGAATGAGATCATCAGAGGTACAGCACAGGTTGAACAACTGGGAGATAAAGTTAGAGAGACCAGACTGAGACGGTTTGGTGCTGCTGTCACACTCCAAGTGATATACTGATCAATAGTTTTGTTAAACTTTAGCATCGACCATTAGTATTGAATTGTTTGTCTGTTTGCGAAATATTTCTCGGTCAATTTGACAAAATTAGCTGAAACTTTAATGTGGTAGTAGCTCAGAGTTGATAACAACAGATGCACTGAACGTGACATTTCAATTTCAATTCATTTTATTTATATAGCGCCAAATCACAACAGAAGTTGTATCGGGGCACTGTACAAAAACATTCACATACATACAAAAACCAATTAGTAAAAGTTATCTATCTAAGGAAGGCAGCCAGCAGACACGTTGACTCTTCACTTCATCGCAGTCTCCCATCCTGAGCAAGCACAAAGGCAACAGTGGAAAGGAAAAACTCCCTCTTTAATAGGAAGAAACCTCCATCAAAAACAGGCTCAGGACAAGGGCCATCTGCTTCGACCGGCTGGGTTTGAGAGTACATGTAGGAGAAACAAACAAAGAACGGCAGGTCCAGGTGTAGATGCAGGTGTACCCCCTATAGGAAGAAAGACAAAAAACACACGTCAAGGATAGAAAAAAAATACAATTACAAAACAGGTAGAGCAAGTAAAGACAGCACCAGAGTGAAGAAATCTGCTCAGTTTGTCCTCCAGCAGTCTAAGCCTATAGCAGCATAACTAAGGGAATCCACACATCAAATTAATTACATATCCTTTACTGTAACAATGAAGCAACAACTCCCTCTTTTCTCATCCTAAGATCATCTTTACAATTCTGGGATAAAAAGCTGAAAGTGATACACATACCTTCAAATAATGCTAGCCTTTTTTTTTTTATTTACAGTACTCTTTTACCTACAATTTTTAGTTCTATTAATTTGGGGTTGCAAGACTTCAACATTGTCTAAATTAAAAACAATTGTAAACCCCATGCTTTAGTAGACATTGGAAAAATATGTGTAGTGTTTCATTTCCACTAAAGAATTGACTTTCAGTCAAGTGGTCACAGGGTTGCACTACTAGCATCACGTAGACCTTTAAATTTAGCAACACTGGTATACTGTTAAACTATTTTACAATGTCCCATAGTTCAGTGACAACAAAGTCTTGGGTGTGGGGTGAGCACTGGGGGTGCTGACTAGTCTGCTAAAACAAAGTACCATATGGAAAAGGCTATGTTATACTGGTGCTCCATATCTGAGATACAATACTTTATAAGGAGCCGTTTCCGCCAGCTTCTGTTATCAGAGTCAGGTGTTACGAATGCATAATGCCTGATGTCAGATTCCTGGCATTCCTTGGTGTCAGGCTTAAGTATAAAAGAGCAGAGATTGTGGGCTCCAGCATCAACACAGCCACTAGGTAAGAGCATCAACTCATCACTGATATGAGCAGCAGCAGCTCTCAAAAAACCATGCATCCATCCTCCATTCCTCTATGTGGCCTTCTCCTCATCCTCAACCTGCAGCTGTTCAGTACTTATCCCATCAACACGGCTTTCACTGCAACAGATATGGATATCCTAAAGGTGAGTCCAATAACAAAATGTTGTTTTGAAAAGTTGTATTTTCTGATGCAATGGGTGGTTCCTTACAAATTCTTACTAACCAGTGAGGAACTGGAATTATTTTCATCAAAAAGTAAATGACTGGGATATAAAAGATGTGTTCAGCTGAGTGGCTCACTAATTCACTATCTATAAAAAAAGGGGGGGATCATACTTTGAAAAAGCATTATTGATTTTTTTCTAAAACATTCTGGTCCTCTTTATGAATATCACTCACATGATAATGGAAGCTTAATGACATGCTAACATGGATCTTGCAGGTTCTCCTTCACAAACTGGAGGAGACTGATTCAGAGCAGACCCAGCTGGACCAGGGGGCAGCTACAGACATAGAAAGTCTCATCAACATGGAGGACGAAGCAAACAAAGAACAGCTAGCAACTGGACTGGATGAAACACAAATCAGAAAATTTCTTTCAGCCAAAGACCTGAAGAGCCTTCGTAATGACTCGTCCAAGAGATCATCTAGCTGCTTCGGACGGCGAATGGACAGGATAGGCTCCATGAGCTCACTGGGCTGCAACACCATCGGAAGATACAGTAAGTGTTACTGCAAAAAGGCACAACACCATGGCAGCACAATAATACAGTTTCATTGTTATTTTTGCTAATATCTTATACAGTTCAGTGAAACTTACCTTGTATTTTCCCACCTTATCTTGTCCTCATACAGATCCAAAATAGAAAAAAAGATGAAGTCTTACCAGCCAAACTCTGGAACTGCAACGTCTGTACAAAATTCTATTTTTATTTTTTACTATTTATTTATGATTATTTATTGGGTATCTTTTGGCTCTCAAAACTTTTTATTTTAAAGATATATGTTTTTGGTTCTTATGTATTTTTGAATGTTTAATAAATGTTTACAAACGTTGATAAATAAAATGAGCAAAGTTTCTGACAAAATAAAGTCATTTCATTTGCACACCAACATCTGTGATAGTTTCAGTTTTTTTTCTAAGGACTGCATGAACTGAAGGGGAATTTGAAAATTATTGTGAAATCATTGAACCAAAACTCTTACAAAGCATTGAATAAAGACTTTGCAGCACCACGAAGAGCACCAAAACTATTCTTTATCAATAGAAATGTACAACTGCATATTGGGGCCATTCCAACTAAAGTGGATATGAAGACATTTCAGCTTTGTGTTGAGATTAAAGTCAAAGGTTGGGAAATTAAGTTATTGGTAATGTCATGTAGCTCTAGGGGCCATTTTGAATTATGTTGCCCCCAAATGTTATTGAGTTGTAGGTGTGCATCCACTAAATTCTTTCTAAGAGTTTAGAACCACGTTTCAAATCAGGTTCCTCCACTTAGCTACCCTGAACATCAGGCCCACTGGGTGATGATCCAAAGAAAAAAATAATACTAAAACTAAGCCATCGGTCAACCACCGACCCGTTCAACTTTCAAATCAGTTTTCTGTGCTTAGGGAGACGTCCACCGAGGAGCACACTCTCGCTGTTGGCAGCTCCATAGTTCAAAACGTGGCACCTGTGACTCAAACCACAGTCAAATGCATTCCAGGGGCCAGAGCAGGCGACACTGAATCCCACCTGAAGCTACTGGCTAAAGCTAAAGTGAAATACAGTAAAATCATTATTCACGTTGGCGAAAATGACACTCGGCTACTTACATCAGAGAATTCAAAAAAGCGTTCAATACAAAAACAACTGGATTTTATTTGTAACAGATTGAACGCTTTTTTGAATTCATCATGTCCTGGATGACTGAGAATCTTCATCAGCTTAAATCAGAGATCACTAAAATTAATGTTGCTTCAGTGTGTAACTTCACAAAAACCATGTCTGACGCCATAGTTTTCTCCGGCCCCCTCCCCAACCTGACCAGCAATGACATGTTTAACCGTATTTCGGCTTTTAACCGCTGGGCGTCCAGATGGTGCTCTGAAAACAATGTAGGGTTTGTAGACAACTGGAGGGCATTTTGGAGAAAACCTGGTCTGATGTGGAGACATGGAATCCATCCCACCTTATGTGGAGCAGCACTTCTCTCTGAAAACTTAGCTGATTCAGTTGGACATCCAGATTATTGACAATTAACGGTCCAGTCTAGAAATCAGTCCAGGAAGCAGAGATGTAGTTTTCCACAGCTCGCTGCTGCTTCTCTGTTACCCAACCAAAACCCCATTGAGACAGTACCAACTCTCCCACGGCTCAAATCAAATAAACCAAAAATCAGCTCTAAAATTATTAACCATAATAATCTTATTAAAATAAATACAACTACTTTACCAGAACAAAATAATAAAATCATTAAATGTGGACTATTGAACATCAGATATCTTTCCTCTAAATCCCTGTTAGTCAATGACCTGATAACTGATCATCATACTGATTTATTCTGTCTGACAGAAACCTGGCTAAAACAGGAAGATTTTGTTAGAATAAATGAATCCACTCCACCTGATTATTTAAATATGGGATGCATCCCAAACAACGATGAGTCCAGCTACAGGCGGAGGTGGAACATCTGGAGAGTTGGTGCAAAGAGAATAACCTTCACATAAATGTGAAGAAGACAAATGAGATGGCCGTGGACTTCAGAAGGAACAAACTCACCTCCCCCCACCCCCAAACATAGGAGGATCTGCGGTGGAAGTGGAATCCAGCTACAAGTACTTGGGTGTACACCTGAATGACAACCTCAGCTGGAGCAACAACACCACCAGCCTGATCAAGAAAGCTCATCAGAGACTCTACTTCCTCAGAGGCTGAGACGAGCTGGTCAGGGAAGCTCAGTCCTCACCTCCTTCTACAGGTGTGCAGTGGAGAGCATCCTGTGCTCCAGCATCAACGTGTCTTAAAGACATAAAAACCTGGATGACCCTAAATTTTCTCCTGTTGAACACAGACAAGACAGATGTTTTAGTTTTTGGACCTGAGCATCTTAGGAATTCATTTTTCAGTCTTTCGTCCTCCTTGGATGGCATTAATCTGTCCTCCAGCTCTAATGTTAAAAATCTTGGTGTTATTTTTGATCAGGACATGATTTTATCCCCCACATTAAAAACTTTACTAGAACCACCTTCTTCCACCTGCGTAATATCACAAACATAGAAACATCTAATCTAAAAATGATGCAGAAATACTGGTTCATGCATTTGTCACATCTAGACTGGACTTTTGCCATGGTTTGTTATCTGGATGTCCAAAAACTTCTTTAAAACGTCTTCACTTGATCCAAAATGCTGCTGCCAGAGTCTTAACTGGAGTTACTGGGAGAGATCATATTTCTCCAGTTTTAGCTTCTCTCCACTGGCTCCCTGTCAAGTCCTGAAGTGAATTAAAAATCCTACTTCTAACCTACAAAGCTCTCAACAACCTAGCTCCATTTTATATTAGAGATCTTATTGTTCCAAATTTTCCTAACCAAGCACTCCGCTGTCAGACCGCAGGCTTACTTGTGGTTCCTAGAGTTTCCAAAAGCAGAATGGGAGGAAGATCTTTCAGTTCTCAGGCTCCTCTCTTGTAGAACCAACTTCCAGTTTCTGTCTGTGAGGCTGACACATTGTCCAGTTTAAGACTGGGATTAAGACTTTCCTTTTTGATAAATCCTATAGTTAGGGTCAGCTTGTTATGCTTTCTTAAGCTTAGACTACTAGAGGACAAATAGACCTAATTTCCTTAAACAAATTGTTAAAATTGAATAATTCTCTTTTGATACAATTTCTATCTTAATGTGATTCCTGAACTGCCATTGTGCATCTGTTTCTACCAAACCCAGCCGGTCAAAGCAGATGGCCACTTGTCCTGAGCCTGGTTCTGATAAAAGTTTCTTCCTCACGAGGGAGTTTTTCCTTTCCATTGTCGCCTTCACTTGCTCAAGATGAGAGTTCTGCTAAGGAGTTAAAATCAAAGCAGTCTGCTCCTCAGATAAAGTCGTAAATTACTATTTTATATATGTTTCTGTTCAGCGCCCTGAGATGACGTCTGTTGAGACTATTGGTGCTTTATAAATAAACTGAACTGAATTGAAGCATTTTACTGAATTCTGTCCAGTGATTCATGACATCCATCCATTATCTTTACCCACTTCTTCCTATGCAGGTCATGGGGGGTCACTGGTGCCCATGTCCAGCAGTCACTGTGTGAGAGGTAGGGGACATCCTGGACAGGTCTCCAGTCCATCACAGAGACACATAGAGATAAACGAGACAAACAACCATTCACTCTCTCACTCACACCTAGAGACAATTTAGAGTTACCAATCAGACTAACATGCATGTTTTTGGTCTGTGGGAGGAAACTGGAGTACCTGGAGAAAACCCACGCATACACGGAGAGAACATGCAAACCCCACCCAGCCCATGTACCGGGATTTGAACCAGGGTAATCTGCTCGCTGAGAGGCAGCAGTTCTACCAACTGTGCCACCATGCTGCCTAAGAGCAACTTGAAGAAAGAAAAACAGAATTTATGACTTAAGACAAGAATGAAAAAAGAGATATTATTGATATTTACAATAAAGAAACTTGAACTTGAACTTTTTCATTCAAACTTTATTTATACAGGTTAATCCCATTGAGCCACAGGGACTCATTTACAAAAGAGGTCTGATTTTAACAGAGTTATGACAACAGTAGACCATCATAAAAGGCATTCAAATTGAAAAGAACAAAAAAAAGAAAATGGTATTAAAAAATGAAACAAAAACAGACAGTTTGTAAAGCAATGAAAAAAACTATAAACAGAAACATGTCTGCATTGGTTTATGCCAGGAACTTAGCAGATGTTTGAAGCCACTTAGAGAGGTCAAGGTTAAGAACTTCAAAATCTTTTGTAAGATATTCCAGGAAACAGGAGCGGAGTAGGAGAAGGTCCTTTTGCCCAGTTCAGTTCTCACTGAGGGAACACTGCAGGTAATAATGTCCTGAGAGCGCACGCTGTAGCTGCACTCACACAGAGACATGTAGGAGGAGATGTATGAAGGCAGCAGACCAAGAAGTGATTTAAAGATGAAAATGTACCAGTGAGAGAGTCTGCGTGAAGTTAATGATGTCCAGTTAACCAGTGAATACAGGGTGCAGTGGTGGGGACGATAATCACAGCCAGTTATGAATCTTAGTGCACCATGATAGACAGCATCCAACATCTGCAAGGTTCTTGTAGGAGCGTTCATGTAAATAATGTCACCGTAATCAATGGAGGGAAGGAAAGTCACAGTTACAAAGGTGTTTCTTATCATTCAGGGTTAGACAGGATCTGTTTCTGAAAAAAAAAATAAATAAAATAATTTTCAGTTTCCTTACCAAGTTTTCTGTGACGCTTAAAAAAGAGATGCGAACCGACATACCCCCACCCCCCCAAAAAACTTGAACTTGTATGAAAGCCAAAATAATTCCTGCTCAAAGAGTTAATTTTGCCTTAGATAACAGAGAATGAATTGATTAATTTTTAGTTAGTTTGTTTAAGGATTTTACTAATACCCAGAATAGTTGTGACCGTAAGAGCAACTCCAAGACACGTAGAAGTTTGAACAGTATTTATTTACAAGTGTGAATATGTATAAACAGTTGAGTTGTGACTTCTGGTGGAACGGATTGGTATGTCAATGTCCCCCGTCACTGTGGGACTTGAAAATAAAACAAAACTGCCATGTGTCAGAGCAACCCATAGAAAGAGTATGAACATGACTGATTTTTGACATAAACAAGGATTTTACATTGTAAGGATGTTACTGCTTTCTGAAGGGCGGTACAGTGGCTGCCTCAGTCAAGGATCAATTCCCGTCCGGGAACCTTTCTGGGAGGCGCTTGAATGTTCTCTATGTGCATGCGTGGGTTTTCTTTTATTCTGGTTTCCTCTCACAGAGCAGAAACATGCATGTTAGGCTGATTGGTAACTCTCAATTGTCCCTAGGTGTGAGTAAGAGAGTGGATGATTGTTTGTTCCTGTGTCCATTTGATGGATTTGCAACCTGTCCAGGGTGTTTCCCACCTCTCACACAGTGACTGCTAGATATGGGCACCAGTGACCCCCACAACACAAAAAGGAAGAAGCGGGTAAAGATAATGGATGGATGTTCTGAGCGCTGGACTAGGAAATAACACATTTTCTCTTGTCCTCTGTCTGTACTTAACATTATGTTTGTTTAATTTTTAAATGGTGAGTAACCAACTGTGGTTTGTGGACGCACAGAAGTGAGTGAAGTGTAAAATATTTGTACGATGAGTGTTGAATTTAATTTAAAACATGTCTGGACAGCGGGCACAAAGATGACTCCTGAAGTTATTTCTTGGCTGGCTGGCACTCATGATGATACCCAGACACGCATGCTGTACATAAACACACAAACACCTATTGTCAAGTACCACATAAGTACCCATCTGACTTGCTGCCTTATCATGCAGAGGTGACAGAATGCACAGGAGGAGAGGAACCAATGTCACTGTCTGTCTGCAGCACAGTCAGTGTATATTTATGGGTGTGTGTATGTGTGCTAGCATGTATATAACATCATGGGGAGGGTTTTGATAGCAGCATCAGGACAAGATGAGAGCCGTGGTAATGTGCAGCATGGTGGCCTTGTTTTGTCAGCAATGTCTGGTTAGCAGCCACGTTCTGGGAAGGCCTTCATCTACCAGTGACCTGGATCAGCTAAGGGTAAGATTTTATGTTCACACTTGAGCCATTATGTATGCTGAACTAATAAAATAAAGATGATTATTATTATATAATAAGCTAATCGAGGTCTGAAGCTTTTAACATGTTTTGCATAACATTTAAACTAGAAATATTGTAATTAAATCTAAGACTATGTATTGCGTGAAACTTTGATCAATGCAGTCTCTAATGGAGCGCTTCGAGGAGACACTGGATGAAGAAAACCAGGAAGAAACCGAAGCTGATTACGAGGAGACAAACCAGGAACGCGAGCACAGCCCGGTCAGCAGGGCATGGAGTCTGGACCGAGACTCGTGGATGTCAGAGAAACCTCAGCCATTAGCGACGAGTCACAACAACGCACAAAGTCAGAGGAGCCAACTACAGAATCTGCTGATGAGCATCAAAAAACGAGCCTCTGGCTGCTTTGGAGCCAGGATGGATCGGATAGGAAATGTCAGCGGTTTGGGATGCAACACTGGAAGAGGTATCATAATGATAAGAGTACATTAAAACCAAGGTGAAAGAAAGAAAAGTCACGGGTCAGAATGTACCACCGTAACAGCTTCAGCAAACTATGAAAGCGACTATTTAGGGTTCTAGTTCATCATTTATTAAATAAAACAATATTTTTTTTCATTAGGTGTTTTAAAATAAACTGAAGAGGTCCCTCCGATACTTGGGTCATCATTGTCCCATCTTTATCAAAACAGCTTTTTTTATTTTTAGATGTGTTGAAAGCAAAAATCATTATGCCACACTTTAAAATGAGTGCTGCTCTCCTGTAAAAAAAAACAAGTGCAATAAACATTAACATTTGAAAACAGGATTAATTTGGATACATTATATAATTTAAAAAAAATTTGTAATAAATTACAGATACATTGTCTTTTCCCTGTTTTGCAAAGTTGAATTGAATTAAATTTTAAAACGTTTACTGGCCAACGTTTTTCAGCTTTAGAAAAAAATAATAAAGTGGAATAGTTTATTCAGGAAGCAGCTGGTTGACTGATAAGAAATGAGAGCCGCCGGTGGAAATGCAGGAAAGAATTAAGATTTTTTGTAGAAAATTATTAAACACGAAATGTTGCAAAACATGTTTGCTGTTCCCAGTCAGCTTGGGTCTTAATGTTGAGCTAATACCAACAACTCTAGAAAATAATAGGTAGACCAAAAAGAAACATCCAAAAGTTCCAAACAGAATCTGAGGCTGTACATCCTGCTTCTTCGGAGCAGGGTCAGCCACATGGATTCTCCTTCTCCATTTGGCTCTGTTTTACGTATCATCTGTTGTGAGATGGAGTGTCTTCATAGCCTACTGGATCATATCCATCCACCTCGTCTTCTGCTGTCCCCTGCTTTGTTGATCGAATACTTCTGCATTTAATAGTCTTTTTCCCGTGCTTTCATCTTCCATTTGCTGCACATACCCATACATCTCATTCTTGATTCCTGTATTTTATCCTAGATGCATGCCACGCCAGGAGTTTTTCTGATATCGTCATTTCATCGTCTATCCTTGAGGGATTCTCCAAGAATCCCACGTAGCATCCACATTTCTATTATTTTCAGGAATTCCTCTTCTTTTCACTTTAATGTCCATACCTCAGCTCCACAAAGTAAGACTGGGTGCACCATCATCTTGTACACTTTCCCTTTAATATGAATGAGGCCTGCCTTCTAACACCCTGGAGTAAAGGGCAAGAAGTGCAATCCCACAACAGTTGGAACACACTCCAGCCCACCTTTTAAAAATGGGAGCCACCATCCCAGTCTGCCACTCTATAGGTGTTGTCCTGGTCCTCCATGTGACATTGAAAAGACTTGTTAACTATGGAAGCACCACAACATCCAGAGCCTTCAGCATCTTTGGATGAATCTCATCCACTTTTAGTGCCCTGTCACAGAGAAGCTTTTTTACTACTTTGGTGACCTCTGCCATGGTAAAGAAACCTAACATCTTCCTCCATGGCCTCTCTGAATTCCTCCTATGTCTGGGGTATTGCACCCGCAACCACAAAAGCCACAGTTTTTCTGGCCACCCTGTACCTGTCAGTTGCTTCAGGAGTCCTCTGGGACAGTCAAGTCCTTAAGGCCTCCTCCTTCAGCTTGACGGCCTTCATAACTGCTCGTGTCCACCAGCAGGTCTTTTGGTTGCCACCATGACAGGCACCAATGACCTTCAGGCCACAGCTCCTGGAAGCTGCATCTGCAATGGAGGCCCTGAACATGGCCCATTTGGATTCCATGTTCCAGACCTCCCCCGGAATATGTGTAAACTCTCCCGGAGGTGTAGTTGAAGATCACATGGACAGGAGGCTCCACCAGACATTCCCAGTTCACCCTCACTATGCATTTGGGTTTTCCATGTCTGTCGTCTGGCAGTCTCCCCACCACCAGATCCACCTCACCTCCAGGTGTGGATCAGTTGATAGTTCTGTCCTCGTCACTCAAGTGTCCAAAACATAGGACCTCTGGTCCAATGACACAATTGCAAAATGGATCATTGACCTTTGGCCCAAAGTGGACTGGTACCAAGTACACTTATGGACCCCTTTATGCTTGAAGATGATGTTAGTTATCAACAGCCCATGCCTAGGACCAAAGTCTAATAAAAACATAATTCAGGTTCAGCTCAGGGAGGACGATCCTCCAAATCACCCCCTTTTCAATTAATAACATGGGTACTGAAGTCACCCAGTAGAATGAGGGAATCCCCAGATAGATGGCACCTCTTGCAAGACACCATCCAGGGACTACAGAAAGGCTTGGTAACCTGAACTGCTGTTTGTTTATTAGCACAAACAACAGCCAGCCCCCATCCTACTAGTTTCCAACTGTTTTAGATCAGTGAGATATGATCCATAGTGACACATGCTGGTCTTCAAGTATAGACACAATTCATTCTAGTTTACTGGACTACCCATTTGACTAATTTATTTTAAGAACTATTTTTCTCCCTTTACAATAACAGCCACCTGTCAAGGCAATTACAAAAATGCAACATAAATGTGCACTAGCTCCTATTAGTGGTAAAAACCTACTTATAAATTTTGTGTTATGCTTGTGTGATTTTCCAACAGGTTAGCGACACTGTTTCCTGGACACATGGAGCGTTCTATGTTGGAGCTGAAGATGTAACCAAGGACACCTACATTTCTGTCATTATACATCAGTGACGGTTAAGGTCACTGTTTGACTGGACAAATCATCTCTCACCAATGTGATTTATTTCCTACTGTGCAACATTATCAACTTGAAAACCATTGGTTTTCTAAAATGTAACTTGGTTTTGTTTGCTAACAAAAAATGTATAAATAAACAAAGATCAATATTATTTTTAATACAAATAAATGGATTTTCCAGCAGCACTTGACATAATGACCTGTTATTAACATAGAAAAAGTGGTGTAAAAGTTTGTACGATCTAACATTTAGGCATAAAGATGTACAGTAATATCAAAGTAATAACCAAGCACTTATATGGCAGAAACAATATATTAAGATAATATAAAGCGCAATGTTTAAACAAAACTATAACAGGGATATTCATAATATTTTTAAGGGGTGGTCTGCCAAAAAGTTATGAATAGTGCTTTCTCAGTTGTAGAGCATGAAGTGTAGAGAAAAGGGCAAAATACCTCTGAGCGATGCTTACAGAACTACAAGCATAGAAGACTTTGCATGAAGACATTTTTTAAATTGTTTTTCTTACATTTAAAACAAGTCTTTCAACAAAAAAGGTGTAGTGGTGTGAAAGGCTGCTACAATAACTCAGGTAAAAACTCTACACTATTCCATGACACAGTTTGTTGTTCCCCATCACTGAGTGAAGAGGGGATTACTGGAAATACCCTACATCCATCTGTGCATGTTGTGAGTATAACTTGAAAAGTAGATGAGGTACCAACTTCCATTTTGAGTGGCTGCATCTTGGTGTAAGAAAGGTCACTAATCAAAATCAGATTGTCACATCAAACCACCACCATATGTATGTCTGTCTGTGTATATATGTATGTGTGTACATGAATATATGTATGTATGTGTATGTATGTCGGTACTTGTGTGTATGCGTACATGTAGGTGTATATATGCATAAGTATGTGTATGTATATATGCATATGTGTATATATGTATGCATGCGTATGTGTGTATATATGTATGTATGCATATGTGTGTATATATGTATGCATGCATATGTGTGTATATATG